GGCCCTAATTGTCCTTCTTGTATGCCATTTCCTATCCTTGTTTCGTTGATAAGTCTCCTTACCTCTCTGAGTGTTATTGACAGTGATAACTTTAGTTTGTTCTGTTTTCTTTTGTAATCTCTTCCCCCTACAAGTGCTTTTTGCATTTTGTTTTCCAGTTTATTTGTTCTTACCACTATCTTGCATGTATATACTTTCCTTTATCCCTGTGTTGTACTCCTGGGTTTTCTGCTAATTTTTCAAAGTACAGACCAGAAGGCTGGCATCGGGCCCATTTCTTTATGGGAAGGAGCCGGGGCATCCTCATGGGCTTGAGGCTAAGTGGCCCCGTCAGGTGGCCCTCCGAGAACACCAGACACTGTCCACAGGCTCCCAGCCCTTGGCACGCATGTGCGCATTTACTTCATTTTCCCCTGCTCTCCACATGGTGCCCGCCCTTCGGGGACCTGTGACCTCCGTTCCCACCACCGTCTCCCCCAGGGAAAGCGAGGCAGCTGCCAAGTGAGGAGGCCGGGGCGGCCCGTCTGCTGGCCGGGGAGACTGCAATCAGCCCTCCCTTCCTGAGCTCTCAGGGCTTCCGCATGTGTGGGGGGCGCCAGGCTCAGGCTGGCCCTGCCCCCGCTGCTGCCGCAGGCTGCCTCGCCAGGGCTTCTGCTAGGTCCCTTCACACTCCTTTCCAGCCAGCAGGTTCTGCTGTCTCTTTCCTGTTCTCATGACCGTTGTTGAGCATACTCTTGTTTGGAAAGGCGTCCGGCGAAGAAGCACAGACAGGTGCAATCCGGGTCTGTGTCCGGAAGTGGAGACTTGTTTACCACCGTTACCTGCCGTGGTAGCCTCTACACCTACACCCTAACAAGACAGCTCTTCCCAAACAGCATTCTTGAAAGCTCTTGTGAGATCCAGAGCACAACAGGAGGCCATTGCCTGTCCCCTCCTTCGCCCCCATTCCCACCCCACACCCAGGCGTGATCTTCCCTAAACTTGACTTAAACACGTTGCTCTTGTTCCTTTAGAAGACTCCTAGTTGAGTAGATTTCATTGGCATCCCATCTTGCCTTACCGTGTTCCATTTTGTCATTATGCTCTACTTTCTGTGGCTTTTGAATCTTTGTTAGGAACCAATGATTTATTGTTAAAAACTGTACTATCAAGGGCCCCTGCTGCGTGAGCCGTTGATCTAAATCAGTGGGCAGCTAGTTATCCTCCACCCCCTATCAAGCCATCATCATCATCATTTCCCTCACTCTGCAGCTCTGATATTTGAGTCATAACATGACTTGTTGAGACAAGTTCACTGTTACCTTTTATGTGTTAGCACAAGCATTTCACATATTGTTGTAACTGAATGTTTTTCTGGCCCTAGGCCAAAACTTTTGCTTACTGCCCTCATGCAGACCTGGTGCAAATTAGAAAGTTGGTTTTTGCCAGCTGAGTTGTGCTTTGAGCCATTTCCTGGTTCCATTAGATTATTCAGTACAAGTGCATTCATCAGAGAGGGCAAGCCATGCCCTCAGAACCCATGTGGATGGTGGACAACCCTCTGAGATGGAAGCTCCGCAGATAGTGTCCAGACAGCGGCATGATAGGCTGGCTGGGTGCTCGTACCCAGAAGTGGCAAGGTAGCATTCAGCCCAGGTCGGACTTTCAGATGGGGTTACTAAATCCCCTTCCAGGGGAACCATCCTCCTCCCATCTCCTGTGGCCTGCAGTACTGCCAATCCCACGTGTCAGCCTGTGTGTGACTGCGAAGCAGCACAGAGAAAGCTGCCAGGTACCAGACTCAGGAGATGCAGGCACAAGTGTGTTGATGCAAACAGGGATGAAACGTTTGCCTTTGTAAAGACATACAACTGGCCTAGTCGGCTAAGGCAGAGCTGGGTGGCAGGGACCTGCAGGCCAAGCCCGAACCCCAGTTTATTATAGTGAGGAGTGTGTGAAATGAAGGAAGAAAGGCAAGAAAAGGGTGGAATGAGGAAGGCCGAGGAGGAGGAGACCACGGGAAGAGGGATGTGTGAGGTTTGCAGAAGGTGAGGCTTCTGCACACTGGTTCCCCACAGACAGGCTGCAAACCCCTTGACCTGAGACCCACCTGCCTTGGCCCCGTCGGTCCTGGCCACGGACTCACTCTGCAGTCGGAGGAGCAAGGTGCAGATTTGAGTCGCTGGCTCTGTGACTCTCAGAGGACAATGGCAAGGGAGTGTGCATGTGTGTGAAGTCAGCATGGCCTGTGATAGATGAAACAGCCAAGGACACCTGGAGACGGGACAGAGCTGTGTCCAGGGTTTCTTTGGAGATGCTGCCAGGGGCAGAGGAGGCACTTGTAGCACCCATTGCTCCTCGGGAGGTCTGAAATGGGCACGTGCTGAAAGTAAAGCACGCCTGTGACATGCAGGTGGCCTAGCCAGAGAGAGGATCCCACTGCAATGGTTAGCGTCAGAATGGAATGTGGCTATTTCTAAAAATCTGTGGTCTCTTGCTGGGGCGAGAGAGGGTCACCTTTACCTCCAGTTATCTAGCTGTAAAACATTTTTCATCCTTTAATTCCCAAAGCCTCCATACACCATTTCCAGGTAATATTCCAGAAATCTAGTTTTAATCCTTCCATTGCCTGGCTTGGAAATTCCCATCAGTACTTGAGCTGTTAAACTGATGTAGTCAGCATTACGGAGAGGAAAAAAAAAAAAAAAGGTTAATTGCCTTTTTTTAAGACAATGAATTAATACGAAAACCATGGGAAAGTGAACAACGTCGAGTTTTGTACCGGTTCATTTGGCTGCGCTGTCGCTCTCCCTGTGTGATGGAACGCTTATCACGTTGCCTGGAACCCACCAACAAATGCAATACATCAAATCAACGGATCGTGGCTCCAATAGTGAAAATAGTTCCCCTTTACTATCAAGAAGCAATGGGTCAGGACTGGGACCAGATTAATCAGAAGAAGAGCTTGTGAGGCCAGTGAACGTCCTTAGTACCCAGACTCTAACATGGAGCCCTCACCTTCCGTGGCACCTCTGACTCCCCTCCCCAGGTAGATGCCTGGACGCTCCGTTCCCCACTCTGACCCTCAGTGTGACTCTAAAGCAGCACGCAGAATCACCCTGTGTTAGCCAATAAAGCAAGCTCATTCTAAAGATCAGCACCGGTGGGTCGCTACTGCGGCATAGCAGGTAAAGTTGCTGCCTGTGACTCCAGCATCCCATATGGGCACTGGTTCGAATCCCTGCTGTTCCACTTCTGGTCTAGCTCCCTGGAAAATTCAGCAGAACATGACCCAAGTGCTTGGGCTCCTGCACTGCAGATGTAAGAGATCTAGAAGCTCCTGGCTCCTTGCTTCCACCTGGCCCAGCACTGGCCGCTATGGCCATCTGGGGAGTAACCCGGTGGATGAAAATATCTGCCTCTGTATCTACTTCTCTATTACTCTGACTTTCAAATAAATAAAACAGTCTTTAAAAAAGAAAAGTGTTGGGAGCCTGGCACGATAGCCTAGTATCTAGATCCTCGCCTTGCAACTTCCAGGATCCCATATGAGTGTTGGTTCTGTCCCAGCTACTCCAATTCCCAGCCATCTTCCTGCTTGTGACCTGAGAAAACAGTAGAGGATGGCCCAAAGCCTTGGGACCCTGCACCTGCTTGGGAGACCTGGAAGAGGCTCCTGACTCCTGACTTTGGATCGGCTTGACTTCAGCCATTGGAGCCACTTGTGAAGTGAACCAGCAGACAGAATATCTTTCTCTCGGTCTCTCCTTCTCTCTGTAAATCTTCCTTCCAATAATAAATAAATCTTAATAAAATAAAACAAAAGTGTTGGGGCCTGCACGGTGACATAGAAGTTAGTTCTTGTGGTACTGGCATTCCATATGGTACTGGTTTGAGTCCTGGTTGCCCCACTTCTGTTCCAGGATCCTGGTGGTGTAGAATGGCAGTGACAGGTGACCCGATGTCTTGGGCCCTTGCAGCCACTGAGAGCCCAGGGCAGGGGAAGCTCCTGATTCTGGGCTTCAGATCCACCCAGCCCTGGCCCTTGCAGTCATTTGGGGAGTGAACCAGCAATTGGAACATCTCTCTCTCTCTTTCTCTGCACTCTCTCTCTTTCTTCCTCTCCCAGCCCCCATAACTGACTTTTGAGTAAAATAAAATAATTAAAAAAAAAATAAAAGCATTGAAATCAGACTTTTTTCATGTCTTTTTTATGGAAAAAAAAATGTCATCTGTACAAATAAGTTAAGCTTTATAGTACAGTCTATTGTTTGAACATTCCATTATGGAAATCATAGAGGTCAACATTTGAAAAATGGAAACCTGAAATTGCTGGGGTAAATTCAGCAAGAAGCTGGGCTTGAAGCTGATGAGCTTCTCCTGTGTAGAGCTGGTGTGAGCAATCCTGATGGGCCTTCTCCGGGGCCCCCTGGGAACGTCAGGGAGGGCAGCCAGAATCCGAGTGCCGCGCCGCACCGGGAAGTGAGCAGTCCGTTGCGCACTTGTTGGAAGTGTAATCATCTGAGAGAGTTATCAATGAGGCTGGCTGGGGAGTGCAGGGGAACTTAGACACAACCCAGGGATGAAGTCAGCTGATGATTAAGGCAGGAACTTGAGTGTCAAACTGCACTGATAAAACGGAAAGAAGACCGAAGACTTGGTTTCTCTTCCTCTGCTCTGCCTCGAAGGGTCTAAAGAAGTAGAGGACGCTCTGTGGGAATCCTGCAGCCACTTGCTTCGATCCTTTTTCAGGCTGGTCTGTTCCTTTCTGAAGTCTCAGCTCAGAGTGCATCATGCTTTTCTTAGAAAGAAGGGTTGGGGGTGGGCAGGGGCAGAGAAAGAAACCTACCCTTTGAAAATAGGTCTTTGAAAGTCACTGTTGCTCTAATAATAGATAAATGGCCGCCTGCACACTGCAGCTAATGAGCGCTCACACCCCTGCCAGGGCTTTTCTGAGGACCCCGGTGTGGCCAGCTGCTCCCAGCAATTAGGAGCTGATTAAGTGTTTATCTTCCTTACAGGTGGGAAGGAAAGAATGAAAACGAAGTGGGCAGATGCAAAGAAACCGGCAAAGTTCACGTGACTGTGGATCTCAAATACTACCGGCCCACTGAAGTGGTAAGGACGCGCACTGCGCACAACGCCCCGTTGAGGGCCACACTCTTGGCAGGCCGGGTGGGAAAATGTTCTCCCCAAGTGCCTGTTGCCAAGCTTCTCCAGCATCCTGCTGCAGGCACTTCCCAGAGAACATGGCACGAGATACCACACTGGCCGCAAAAAAAAAAAAAAAGTATTGCTTGATTTAAGGTGAAAGGAGTGAATCACAGCCTGGCAAACCACTGGCTTCAGAAACGGAGGCACACGTCTCCAGTTGGTCTCTGTGACCGGAGGGCCCATGTGCTTCTGCGGCCATGCCTGTCTATGCTCACACACGTGTGTACTCATGTGTACATGCGCCAAGCCGTAAACAGTCGCCCAGACATAGTTTTAGAGACCGAGCTTCGGTTTCACCGTGTCCATTAAGTCTTTCCTTAGGCCGTACTTCATATGTAGTTCTGCTAGCTATACTTCTAACATCCAATGCTAAGAAACTAAAAAATCATCTGTTGTTGATATGTCTTTCTCACCACCAAACTGGGAGTTCTTTGAAGATGAGGACTTGTTTAATATCTTCCGCCGTAACCAACGGGCGCTTCACCAAAATCAACTGATTGGTGGATGGTTGGGTGCGTGGATGAATTTCTCGATGTAGAAGTTGCCGTCTCTGCCAATTTTCCTTTCCTAAATCTATACAAATGCCTGCCTTGGTGTTACAGCATTGCCGTGGGCCACTTTCGGGTTACACAACCCTTCTAGAAAGCCGTGCCTCCAGTGAGAAATACTCACGTATACTCACGTGTGATGGCTCTTGCACAGTGTATCCATTCACTGTGAGAATGGAACCCCTTCGAAGCGTTTTGCCTGCCTCTTGAAGTGAATTCCCATGTATTGTAAGACCTTCTAGAGATCAGGAAGATTGGAAAAGTGAATGTGTCAGGAGGAACCGCTCTCAAACACAAGCAAAAAGCTGTATTTCGTGCGCTCCTGGACACAGGAGGAAATAAAAAGGAGAGGAAGTAAGCCACCGTGCTGGGGAGGGCTGGGACCACGGAGTCTGTGCTTTGTCCCCAGGCAGGGCGTGGCCGGCTCTGCCACAGTGAACAATTGTTCCCGGTGCTAATGGCGAGTGGGTGTGCCGGGGAGAGGATGTGTCCTGTCCTTGGGGGAGGAAGGTACCAGCTGCCAGGCTGCTGACACAGCAGGGACTGCCTCGCAGAGCCCCGCAGGACTGACAGATCTGGACCTGTGGGCCAGTGCGTATGTGCGTGTGTGTGTCCGTGTGTGTGCACGAACTTGTGCATGTCAGCAGGCAACAATGTTCCTGTTCGAGTGAAAGTCCCACGGAAGCCGACTGAGGCTTCCACTCCGACCACAAGCCCAGCATAGTCCTTTCTCTCCCCCCCACAACACAAAAATCGTTTCAAAAGCTGGGAAGTCATTAAGCACAGCTTGTCTGTCACTCGGACTTAGGCGAGGTGTGGGGTGATAAGGGCACAGAAACAAAAGAGTCTGCTGAACAGGAAAAGGACCCTCGGACTGACAAGACCACTCTCGGAGCCGTGTCACCCCCCCTTCCTGCCGCGACACACACCCCCTCCCCGCCGCTTTGTTCATTCTGATGTTATCATAGTACCTGTTCTGTACCCTCCCTCCCTCCGGCTCGGTCCAGCTCTCTCCAGGATTCCCCCCTACAGCCAGATTCTGGGTCTGGTACAGGATTTCACTCCAATGTCTCCTCGCTTGCATTGTCCGCTGCCTTGGCTTGGTGGAGTGAACCCAAGCTTTTAACCTCATTCCTCAGCACTAAGAGCTTTCTGAAAATTGGATCAGCTTACCGGGCTTCTGTTAAATTGCCTCGGAGGTGAGCCTCTCCTCCAGCAGAAAGGGGACCACTCCACAAAAGGAGCCCTCCTTTGTTCTGACGCGGGACGCAGCCGGCAGGGTCTGTCAGCACCTGTGATGGGGGACCATGGGACCTCCCGGGTCTGAGCTGTCTCCCTCCCCTCCCCATGCTTGCCTTTCTTCCTGAGCGACTTGGGTTCCCGATTCACTCCCACCATCTGCCTACTCCTGGCCCAGACCTTCAGTGCGCAGGGGCGCTGGAAGCCAAAGCAGAGACTAGATCTCCTAGGCCAGGGGTTCCAGAACGCCTTATAGGAAGAGGGAACTGCCATCAGGAAAATCTGAAGGGAAAAAAGACAAAGCAGTGAGGTCGTGGAGGTCATGGAACACCAGCATCCCAGAGCAAGACCAAAAGGAAACAGCTAGAGACTGGGGAGTTAAGACTCGGGTTAGGCTGAAGAAAGGCAGCTAGCTTCAGGGAGGCCACCTGTCTTCCATGGTCAGCGTAGTTTCCCATGTGCCAGAGGTTCGCTTTCCTTCCATCTTGCTTTTGTATCAGCGTGAAAAATCGTGGAAGTGTTGGTCCTGGAATAAGGCCTCCAGCCTGCAGTTAGAGCTGAGCCAGGCCACGCCTTTGACGCTCTGCCTCTGAGCCAGGTTTGGGTGGCTCTGCCTGGGAATTCCTTCGGATGTCACAGAGTTGTTCTGCCCTAGAGAACCTGGGAATCAAACTTCCCATTGTCACCCCCAAATTCCATCATTCGCCAGTGGGAGAAGGAACCTTTGGGTTTTCTGCTGCTTCGGACTGCCACCCTGAGTGTAGTTTTCCGTATAGGCATACGATGACACATAGGCTTATTGTGTTACATTATGCATTTATTCCTGGAGAGGAAGTGGTATTGTGCTTAAATTTGGGCCCCTGGGCCAAACTTGGCTCAGTTCAAAAACTTGTCCGTGACTAGCTGTGTGACCTTAGGCAACTTACTTCACATCTCAGTGCCTATTTTCTCACCTTCAAAACCAGAGTTCAAACTGGAACTTGTTTCAGAGCATGGCTGGAGAACTCACTGAGTCATTTCCACAGTGCCCAGCACGTAGTAAACCCTCAGCATCGTGGTGGCTCGCGCTGTTTATTTACCCATCACTTACCAAGCACTGTACTAGACCTCAGAGAATACATTCGTCAACAGGAGACATGGCGACTACCCTCACGGAGACTGCGGACATAGGGGTGCCAACGGCTCCTAAAATCCAGTACCCTTGGAAATGGAAGGACATCGTGGGCAAGTTATAAACAGATTAATCAGTTTAGAGTACTCGTTAACAAGTGCTAGTTGACATATTGGCAAGTATTAATATGTACGTGGATTTTTATGCTCATTATATCTTAGGTTTCATCTTTTTGCTGAAGTTTCAATACCTATTTAGTGATACAGAAGTATTGTGTAAATATGAGAAAACTGATATTCACCAATTGCTTATCTTAAAAAAACACAGATATATGTTCCTTTTGAGAATTTAAACTGAAAACTCGCAAAAGAACGAACCATGCGCTATTCATCCTATTATGCCAAACTTTTAACCACAACCACATCAATTAATCAATACACTTTTTAAAAAGGTTTTTTGTTTTTTGGGGTTTTTTTTTTTTTTTTGGCCCCAGTGGGACCAAAAGAATCATTTTTTTAATGGAGGGCACCTGAGGAAGTAGACTGACCGACACATTCACAGGTCAAAATCTTAAACACTCAGCTGGCTTAAACGCTCCCAGCTGGTGTAGAGCGAGGTCCTCACTGTGCCGTTGGTCTTGTATATCCATTTCTCTTCCTTCCCATTATAGTTCTAAAGTCCCCCATTGGGTTTCAATTTCATTTTATCTACTTAGAAATATTTGTTCCTAATCTGTGTGGGTATTAGGGAAAAATATCATGGATTGGAATTTAGTATGAAGAAAGCTGAAACTTCAAAGAGGACCAACAAGCTAGTAAAAGCAACACCTCCCTCCAGTACCGCAAGGGCTGTTTCTAATCAGATTACCATATGCATCGCGAGCTGTCTCTCCCAACAGTTGCCCCCTCAACACCTTTTCCTAATATGTCTGTTAAATGGCCTACCATTGCTCACTCTATTCCATAACCCTGTTCAGAATATCGGTATATGACGTTCTCTGTAGCCTGGAAAGCTGACCTGTCATAGAGGGCTTGCATGAATGCCAGTGAGCGCTTTCCTCTGGCCCCGTGTATCTGGGGCACTAAAAGTCCTCCGTGTGTTCAGCAGGCTGGCCTTTTGTCCCAGGACCATCCCCCTTTCCTCCCAGCACTGTTCTCACAGCCTTCTCACACCACCCCTCCCGAAGCAGGAAACTGGATCCCCCCTGGTGGTATACCCTCATCCGCTGCCCCTCGTGGTTAGCGGCCTGTCCATCTCGCCCCATCCTGATCCCTCCGGCCTTCAAGCTCTAATCCTGCCGCCACCCTTGCCTGCCTTTGTTCCTGTCTGGGAAAGCTGGGAGCTTGGATGAGAGGAGGCTGAGAGAGCTCAGGAAGGGCTGGGACCTTTCTGCCCGCCCTGCTGGGCCTGGAAAAGCAGAAGCTGGCCTACTTGCTCTTCGGGCTCCCTTCCAACCTGAATCACCCCAGCATCCTCTTCTTCCCTAGCCCATCAGGCGCGGCGAGGTGTGATGCTGGCCCTGATGGCGGATGGCAGTGTTTGCCCTGGCTGCACTGTATCAATAGTCCGTATCTCTAAATCACTGTTTATGTGTTTTAAGCCTCCCTCTCAGGCTCCTCATGCTAATCCGCATTACCCTTCCTTAATCACGTTGGCCTGTCCTGCCCTTTTCTTTCTTCGGGCTTAATCCAGAGAGCTTTAAGTTGCAGCCGCTTTAGTTGATTCTCGACTATTCCACTGTGTGTTTTCCATTCTCCGTAGACTCCCCGTTAAAAGCCCCCAAGGGCCTCTAGCATTGCTCCCAAAGCCTGGGAGTCTCTCCTCCCCTGCTCTTCTCCGGGAGAACACTTCATATTTAATGAAATCGTAATTGTGTACTGGCAGCAACGCTCTATTTCCTCCTGTCTTCTGCTGGAAGGTCCTTAGGATCACATCTGGACCAGAATGACATCGTTACAGACTCGAAAGCCCACCTGCGTGCCTACGCACCCTTGCTTCTCAGGCGTTTTTAAATGAATGATCTTATCACTTATACCAATATGGAATTTTCTCCAGCATGCTTTCCAGGTAGTGCCTACCCTTGCATATACTCCTCATGTTGACCTCTTGCCATCATTTCTAAAACTGTTTTTCATCTTAGACATTTGCTGCAGCATCTGTAGCCACTTTTCTTGGGAACAACAATTAGTAATTGAGCTCTATTTAAACTAACCCGGATGTTAGCCACCAACGTGCGGCTCTGCTGTGAGATGCATCTCTGGTTTCATATCTGGCTAATGAAGTCTTCTATTCCAGAATTTTTAAAATACCTATTGGTTGTTTTTTTTTTTTTTTTGAAGTGTACTTCCTATTTTTTTCAAGCCCCATTTGTCTTCTGAAATAACTGTAATTCCAAAATCTCTATTCATGGCAATTTCAGACAAATCTGCCTATGGTTTCCTTCTGTTAGCCAGTGCTGCCTTACGTTGCCAGTAAGGATGAGTATTTCTTCTCAGTCTGGGTACTTGGTTTAGCTTTGTTTTTCCTTTTTGTAGCACACTGTTAGCTTGGAAAGAGTTGCTCTCCAGACACCCCGTGATCTGAATCCACCAGAATTCCACCTGTGTCCAACTTTACTCAGCCCGGATAGATGCCTTCTCTTGCATCACTGCCCACACCCTTTGCTCACTCCAGGCTGGTTTCTTCATTCACTCTTACATCTGCTAGCAAAGTTGAGAACTCCCCATGCTGTGTGTGTCATCGCCTCCAGCGGGCTGCTGCCCGGCTGACGGCCCTGCCTCCTCCCTCCAGGGACTCACAGTGCCCTCCTGCACCTGTGTGGGTCACAGGCTTGGCCTGCCAGTAAAGACCCGCTTCCAGCCAACCCTCATTCAGCAACAGGAGCTGTCCTTAATGTCAACATCTAGTTCATAGATTTTGTAAATTGCTCTAATGAATTTTCCACTCTGCTGGAGAAGGCAGATATATGCTGTGTCATGAAAACCTGGAGTAAGAATAGCTCAACTAAGAAGTGAATAGGTATGGAGATACTGAAAGTCCCTCTGGCTTCCAGGATATGTTACAGGAATCCTTCATGTACATTGAAAAGATATTTCTAATTCATCTTCAGCCTCTTGGAAATAC